AACACCCCCCATCCCTTCTCTGCCATCTCTGCCCCTCAGCGCCCCAGACCCCGACTCAGGACACTTACTTCTCCTCCTCCCGCCCCAGATTCCTGAGATCCAACCCCCGGGTCCACCCGCAACCCCTAGTACCCCTCTTTCCCACCTCATCCTCGTCCCCCAGTAAGGGTACCCCGTTCAAACCTCACTTTTCTCTCCAACTCCTACAAGCAGCCCTCACTTGAGGACACCCTGTCTCCCCTGATCTGAGCCCCTAGAGACTCACACTCCCCCATTCCTGCCCTCCAGGTCCCCCATCTCTCCAGATCCTAGTTCAAGACAACCCTTTCGTCCTCTCCATCCCTGCCCTCCCGTCTCCAGAACCCACCTGTCTCTTGGGGACCGTCTTCTCCTCCAGATGCTTCCCAGCCCCTCCTTGCTGGGATTACTCAAGTGCTGGGGTCCCTTCCCCCCTCCACCACTGCTGACTCTTCCCTGTCCTGGCCAGGCATCCAGGGGCAGGGCTGGGGTGGTGGTACCTGGACAGGTGCACCTGGGACCCCGCCTCCTTGGCTTCTGAGGGCACTGCCAGGGGGCTCTTGAATTTTTCTTTCCCAAACTCAATGTGGGCCCCAAGGAGCTAGAGGCATGGCCTGGACTCCACCAAACCTTCCGTAGCCCCCCATGGGTTCTGTTCTCTGTCCAGCCCTAGGGGGTGTTCTTTGCTCCCTGGCCTCTCCTGAGGTAGGACTAGAATGGATGAGTTTAGGCCAAGTGTGGATGGGGCAGGCTCTGATTCACAGACCGGAAAATCCCTCCTTAGTCATCCCTGGGCCAGTCACTGGCTCTCCCACTTCCCCCAGAAACCCAGGCAGGACTGGGGCTAAGGAGGGCCCCTGCCCCTTCATCGTGTGTGAGACACACAGAATAATCCCAAAACCACCTGCAAGGCTCCCATGTACCTGCTCTCGCCAGGCCAGGTATTAAGAAAGCCCTTGACCCTCAGAAGCTCATGGAATCCCCTGTAACCCTTTGAGAGTTATTGTTTTCACTCCCACTTTGAGGAAACTGGGGCACAGAGAGGTTGAGAAACTTGCCCAAGGTCACCAAGCCAGTGAACAGCAAGCTTGGATTGGAACTCAGTTCAACCAGCTCATTTCATTGCCTGGAGCCCACGGGGGTGGCCAGGACACCCCTCCCCTCCTCGGGGAACTTCCCGGGGGAGGGGCATGGAGAGGAAACCAGGGAATGGAGATTGTCTTGGGAGCTGGAGCTTGCCAGCTCTGGGACTCTGAACAAGTGATTTCGCCCCATGTCTGAGCCTCAAATTCCCCCGACCATAAAACAGGGTAATGATCTAGTATCAACTCATGGGGATGTTGTGGCAATTAAGGGAAATCACATACGTAAAGCATTGAGCATAGCGTAGGCTAAGAAAATGTACACCTTGGTCATTTTTTTTTTTTTTTTTTTTTTTTTTTGGAGGCTGGCTGGTCTGGGGATCCAAACCCTTGACCTTGGTATTATCAGGACCATGCTGGGTAACCAGCCAGCCCTTGATCATTATTCTTACCGCTTTTGTCTAATTTCCTCCTGTTCCGTCAGGGCCTGGGAGATTGGAGGATATTACACCAGGACCCTGGGACGTGGCATCCAGGAGGGAAGTGGCAGAAAGGTCTAGAATGCTAACTATAGGCCAGGTGTTATTGTATATTGCTTTATATACATTAATGCACATTTAATCCTCACGATCCTCAGGAGGTCAGGGCTGTTAACATGCCCATTTTACCCATGAAAAAACTGAGGCTGGAGAGGCCAGATGAATTGCCCAAGGCCACACTGCTTGTAAGCAGCAAAGCCAGGATTCAAGCCCAGGCGGGTTTCTAACCACCGGCCCTGCGCCCTTCCCGCAGGTCGAGGAGCGGTTCTCCCGGGTGCCGGAGCCGGTCCAGAAGCGCATCGTGTTCTGGTCATTTCCACGCAGTGAAAGGGAGATATGTATGTACTCGTCACTGGGCTACCAGCCCCTGGAGGGCGAGCAGGACACCCGGGTGCCCTTTACCCGCGGGCTGCACCTGCTACAGAGTGGGGCCGTAGACCGAGTGCTGCAAGTGGGTGAGTGACCCCACCCCTGCCAGGGAGGTGGGGAAATCTGGAGCAGGCCTGGAGGAGGGGAACTAGAGGGAGGCCTGGGCCGGAGGCGGGGAGGTTACAGACCTCAGGTTTCGAGGCCCATGTAGGGTTGTACAAGATATTAGGGGCTAAAGCTAAGGGATCGGCCTAGAACTCAGGCAGTGGGCCTTAGATGGAGGGTAAGGGAAAGGGTGGTGAACCAGAAATGGAGAGAAAGAAGGTCTCAGAACTTAGGTAGCCCAGGTAAGGGTTGTGGACAAAGGTGGGGGCTAGTCCCAGATCCCAGGTGGAGGCCACTATAGGAGTGGGGGTAGAGGTTGGGTCATGATGATAAAGGTCTTAGACCTCAGTCTTCAGGCCCAGATGGGTGTGGGTGAGAGGTGATTAGGTAAAGGCCAAAGGTGTCCCAGAGTCCTAGACATCAGACAGGTGAGATGGGGCACAGGGAAAGATGTGGTGACATGGGGAGGTGGGCAGGTCCCAGGTGGGAGTCAGAGGAGTGACTGTAAACCAGAAGTGAGAGGAGGCGCCAGACCCCAGGCAGAGGGTTCTGGTGATGTCTTGGGGCACAGGTTTAGAGCAAGAGGTAAGAATGATCCTAGACCTTAAGCAGCAGGGCCCAGGCAGAAGTTGGACACAAACATTTAGAGCCCAGAGGTGAGAGATAGTCTCAGACCTTAGGCAGAGAGACTCGGGTGGAAGTTGGGATCAGACAGAGGTTTAGAGCCATTGTTGAGGGATGGTCTCAGACCTAAAGCAATGGGGCTTAGGTGGGAATGTAGAATAGAAGTTTAGGATCAGTTCTGAGGGTTGGCCTTAGACCTCATGCAGCGGGGGTGCAGGTGAGGGTAGGGAGCAGAGGTTTAAAGCTAGAGATGAAAAATGATCCTAGACCTTAGGCAGTGGGGCCCAAGTCGGGGTTGAGGGAAGGCTGTGAGCCAGAAGGAGAGGAAGGGACTGCAGAGGCCAGATTGGAGGAGAAGTAGCGGAGGGGGGCAGAAAGCCTCAGACCTCAGGCAGCAGGGCTCAGAAGAGGACCAGTAGAGGCTGAGCCAGAAAACTAGTGGGACCTGGGGCTGCACATCTCCCATGAGGCAGGCCACATCTCCCAGCTGGAGGCAGGGGCTCAGCCAAGATG